GCACGAGACTTCACCCCCTTATCATCCCCAGGCTAATCCAGTCGAGAGGGTTAATCGTGTATTGAAAATGATGTTACGCGCGTTCATGGACGGTGATCATCGGACATGGGACGTCCACTTACACGAATTCCGTTTTGCATACAATACGGCGGAACATAGTTCCATCCAAACGACTCCAGCGTTTGCGAACTTCGGCAGGAACCCCCTGCCGGCCATATCCCTTCGCCGCGAGCTAGAAGGAGACATCGAGATAATCCCGGGCAAACCCGGCGAGTGGGTTGACCGAATGAAGCGATTGGAGACGCTTCGTAAGGCTCTCACTCATGCCATGCGGGAGTCGTCTGACAAACAGGCGCACCATTACAATCTCCGTCGGCGCGACGTTGAGTTCCAAGAGGGTGACTTGGTTCTGCGGCGCACTCACCCATTATCCAATGCGGCGAAACATTTTTCGGCTGCGTTGGTCCCTCCATTCGAGGGTCCTTTCATGATTAATAGAAAGGTATCCCGAGTTCGGTATGAACTTGTGGATTTTTCCGGGAAAGCTCAGGGCGAGTCCGCCATACAGGACTTAAAGCCCTATCAACCTCCAGTACCGGCTCCGTAACCTTCGGTTACCGGCTTCCGTAATAGTCTTACGGCCCATAATCGCCCCGCTAAGCGGGAGTCGCCAATAATTTCCCCCTTTCTGGGTGGTTACCCGTCCGGACAAACTCTCCGGTTTTGCTTCTCTGTTACAGATCACAAACACAGACACACCAGTTCCACGAGCCGAGGACGCAGCACCAGCCGTGGATCTGACGGAGAGCACTCCATCATCCTCTCCCCCGGGTCAGGGGGTTAAAGAAGAGCCCAGCCTCCTCACTAGCCAGCAGAGAGCTGCCCGCAATGCGGAGATAGCTCTGGAGAGCATCCTCTTCCCGGAAGGCATTCCGGTGGAGCTGGACGACCTGGCTCTCCCCGACGACAGCGACGCCGACGTCGCCCAGGACCCGCCACCGCGAGGACCCCTGTCTCCAGTCGTCGTGCTGGAGAGGCTGCCGCTGCCCGGGAGACCAGAAGGGCCGCAGTCCCAACCGGCCAGAGAGGGCCCCATTTACCTCCAGGACTACTGGGACCCAGTAAGACCCTGGCTCTCCGAGATACGAAGTATCGAGGAGAGACGTCCCGGCTTTGCCGCGGCCCTGCATACCTGCACGCTGACACCGGCTCACCACCTGTCAGCGATCAGGTTCATCATCCCTCCCATTCCCCTGGAATTGGTGAGCGGCACCGTCCCACTCGGAGGGAGTGAGGAAGAACTCCCGGAGGCTACCTCCGAGGGCCACATATCCGAACGGGCCCTGGCCCCGCCGGCACATCCGACTGTGGAGATCGGATCCAGCTCCGCGAGCTCCAGTTCGTCTAGCTCGTCGAGCTGCAGCAGTTGCAGCCGCTGCTCTTCGAAGTCCGGGAACTCCACCATCCGCAGTCCAGGACCAGCCGGAGATCCAGCCGGAGATCCAGCCACCCCACGACCAAGCGAGGGGGAGGGTCCGGACAGCACACCGGCACCCAGCATCCAGAGCGCGGCCACCGAGTTCATTGACCTCGGACCCCTCGAGGAACTATCGCTGCCCAGCACAGTGCCCGCATCAGGGTCACCGCCTCCAGCTCTCTCTCATCCCGAGACTGAGCTGGCCACTCCACATCCGCCGCCCACGGATCCAAGGGCCGGCGAGAAAACGCCACCACATCCGCTCCTCAGAGTAGGTGAGGGTGGCGAGAAGCTCCCGGAGGTCACCCCTTTGGGTTCCGGACGGGCTTTTGCCGTCGTGGCCACTCGTCCGAGCATATCAGCTCCGGCCTCGACATCCGCCTGTACGCAGGTCGGCCCATCCGCTCCTTTGGGAGCCGTGGAAGGCCCCGTCATCACCAGCAGCCAGCAGATGAGGGAGACCTCCACGGACCCTCGCGACGTCACCGCAGTGAAGCGAGGAGGAGGACAGCCCAGGGGAACAGCCGCAGGTAAACGCCGCAGACCACGACACTGGTGTTTTGACTGCCGCAGGCACGGCCACACACACCAGGCTTGCCCCAACCCCACCGGAGAGCTGTTCTGCGGGCAATGTCCACATCGCCTCAGGGCCGACAAGATCTGCCCGGAGCACGGCCCGATAACCCAGCCTGCTGGCGGACGAACAGCCGGATCCTCCAACACGCCAGCTGGGACCTCTCAGGTGAGGCCACCACTGCCACCTGCTTCGGCGGCACCCAGCCGTCGCCCTCCCACGGCCGCCAGATCACCACTACGCCTCCATGATCGACGTGCTGAGGAGTATTGGGCTCCCTTTGAAAGGGCCCCCATCCGTTCGGCTGCTGCCGGACCGGCTTATCCGTTCCCCCGGGAGGAGGACCGCAGGCCTCGGCAGGGGGACGACCCCCCAGAAGATTCGGAGCTCCGGTTCTTCTGGCAACCGCCAGCGGCAGCGCCCACCAGCCACCGCAGCGACTACAGGTCCCCGGAGCACGGGGATTACACCTCGGCGGCCACCAGTGCACCAACACGGCCAGCCCTTGGGCGCGGGGCGAACGCCCGCTTCGGACCTCCCCCAAGTCAGGCAACCCGCTGGTCCAGGCACACCATCGAGGCCCTCCAGAGCATCCTGGACCAGGCCCAGCGCGACCAGCAGCAGAGCCCGGAACCCAGGTATTATCCCCGTTGAGCCGGCGGCACATCCCCGAAGACTCGGCGGCACATCCCCGATGAATCGGCGGAACATCCCCGCGAAACGGTGGCTCATCCCCGCAAAACGGAGGCGCATCCGGAGAATTCTCCTGGCTATCCACTCGAGCGGCAGGAGTGGCCATCCAGCCTTTTCTTTTTTTGTGTGTGGAGTTCCACAGTCTTCTTTTTTTTTGATACTCCATATCTTTTTTTTTTGTATTTTTATATATTTGTATTTTGATAGGGTGCCAATTACCAAAGTTATTTTATTGTTAATCATGATAAGCCTCACAAGTACCTGGGGGCACCCATCGCATTAAATAGGTTAAGTTTGTGATAACACGGAAGAATCCGTCCAGGGAGACGTCTCCCCTGAAGCCCCTTGTGCCATAAGCCCCTAGTGGGCAAACAATGTTTTTTTTTTGGATTAGCTTTTCCTCCGTACCCCGGAGGCCGTTTCCGCGGTCAGCAGACCCGGCTTAAATATACTAATACGTTTTGATAAAATATTGTGCATTTATTCCGACCACCATCTCAGGGTGTGGGTTCGAGTTTTTCCCCAACATTACGTTTGGTGGAGTTTAGGTATGATGCAGATTTCCGGAACCGAGACGAGAGGCAGCCGGACCAAGGAAGATCACGAAGGCTGACCCGGATACGGACCATCAAAGGAGGGGGGTGTAACGAGCATCGGGGAGGCCCGTTAGTTTCCCCAACGAAATTAATAAAGAGAGAGAGAGAGGACGAGTACAAACATTTAGTTTTCGGTTAGAACTATGATTAATGTCCCCCTTCGGGGTGGGTCAGGGATAAATTAATTAGGCTAAGGTTAGGGAAAATTTCAGGATCAGGTTAGGTCCGGTGAAAAGCACCGGCACTCCAGAAAAAAGGGTTTTAGGGACTGATTGCTACGGGTGGAAGGCCGTACGGGGTAAAAATATTAACAACCCCGACGGATTGCCAAAGACTGATTACGGGTGGAAGGTCGTACGGGGTGGATTCAGTCACTACCCCTACGAATTGCCGAGACTGATTACGGGTGGAAGGCCGCTCGGGATAAAATCAGTCGTTATCCCGGCGGATTGCCGAAATTATTTTACAATTAGGATTAAAAATATTACGTTAAGGTTAGGGAATAAGGTCTTTCAGTCCCAGGAGATCCAGGAGAACCGATCATGAGGAGATGAATATTAAGAAATTAATTTTAGTGATGGAGAATTAATTCGAATTTGAATTAATTCTCCCGCGAAGGGCTTGACCTAAAATAAGGTAGAGGGATCCACCAATCGACACCCGATCGATTGGTAGGCGTGATTAGGGGGTCAGCGTAACGCGACACTGACCTCCGAAAATCAGTTACGCATTAACCGCGAGATAATACACACGTGAGCGAGTAGTGAGAAGCCACGGACTCAGACCAGGACATCCCAGGACACGAGGAGAAGTTAGAAGCAGCCAGGATGGTCCTGAAGAAAAGGAAGAGGGCAGCAAGGAAATCGCCAGTGAGTTTCTACGGCTTATTTTGATCTATTTTCCCCTTTTTGGCGGCTCTCCAATAATTAATTGGCGGTGATGCATTTTTCCGAGCCATGAAAATGGCGTCGGCTGTTCCCCCGAATTTGGGTGGTGTTTTCGGAGATGGTGTGGAGGATTTTCCGAACGTATTCGGCGTGTGTTTTTCCCCCAGTGCGGTTGGTGGGTTGATAGTGAGGATTTTTGGGATTTTAGGGGTTTATTTGGGGATATTTGGGCGAATTGTCCATGGCCCACAAAGGACCAGTGGTTTTTTTTTCTCCCTCATGACGTCATCGAGACAACCATTGAGTGGTACGCGCAACAAGTGTGACGCATTAATATTCCACGTGGCTATTAATTAGCCTAGCGTGGTTAATCGCGAGTCTTTACGCATATAAACTTGTGGAAATGTTCGGGATAATGTCCCGAGTCGTATGACTCAGGGTTTTCCGAAATCCACCCGGTGGATTTCGAGATTTCGAATTTTCAAGGATCCTGGGTTTTGGCGTTAGAATTTTCCTCACCGTTAACCGAGCGGTGAGGCGTAGTGTAGCTCTCTCTCGCTCTCACTCCCTTGACTTTTGATGCGTCGTGGGCTCGAGCCCAAGGAGTTATAGTTTTTTTTTGCTTTTTTTTTGTTTTTGTTGAGTTGAGGAAATATTCCTCGGATTACCGCCGATCGGTAATCCTCGAGGTCACATTAATACGACATGTTTTGAGTGTCTGGGTTAATTAGCAGTTTAGTTTGGGGTTTTGTTTGGGGAGAATTTAGAGTTCGAGCCAATTTATGTATTAATAATGTTTCAAGGGCAATTAATATAATAATAATATTGCGAGATAAAATCACTTATATAACACCTTTTTTTTTGTAATCAATTACTTTTCCCTGTATCGAATTTTAACTTTCAATAGCGAAACACGTAAGGACAATTTTGGGTTTATTTTCCTTTCTGAATCCCTTTTATATTTTCCCGATTTTTCCGATAACCTTGTTCTCATCTACGAACTACCCCTCTCTCCACAACAGGCATACTGAGCGACCCGAGGACCGTCACCTTTCCCCGAAAGCCTAGCTATCCCTTCCGTTCCCTTTTGGATTCCTTTTTTTTGATTTTAGAGAATAAGTTTGAGTTAAGTTTTAATGTCTTTTGAGGTACGATTCCCGATCAAACGAATATCGAGATTAGTTATGGTTAGGATTACGGGTTTTTCCGGTTTGGTGATTCCGGACAAAAATTACCTGGCGCCCATTGATTTAAATTTTAGCAGGTTTATTAGGCTGAAGGGAAGTAGGGCGAAGGTAATGGGCATTTCCCATTCACCGGGAAAATGTCACGTTACAAATG